ATTTTTCTGTGAATTCCAAATGAAGGCATTTTACCTCTTCAAAGTCTTCTTTGGCTGATGGAAGATCAGTGGCTAAACTAGCATCACCCAGGTGCTTCTCCATTCTCTCTCCTTGTACCATTGTGGTCTTTACAACTTTACTGACCTTCCGGCCTTCCACTGGTTCAGCCTGAAATTCTGAGGCACCCGTCAGAACACTGGGTTCAGAGAATGTCACCTGGTAAGAAGAAGGTATGGAGTGCAGACCATACAGATCATATTTCAGCCTGGGGAAATCCTTAACACAATCTACATACTATTATTTAATCACTTTCTACTTAGACAGATTAATTAAATATAACAAGTCTCTCTCTCTCGCTCTCTGTGAGAACTGTGTGTGTGTGTGTGTGTGTGTACACACACAGAAATACTGAGAAGGGTGACTGTTAGGGACTAGGCTAGGCACTGAGTTTTGGTTGGATTGCACAGATTGTATGAATTATTGTTATATGACTTCAGAAGGAAATTTTAAAATAATATTAACTCCTGAATCATGATTTAATTCCATGGCTATAAAGCCAACGCAACCTTCAGAGGAGCTATAGTCCAGTAATTTAAAATCCTCTTTGTTTTCACTTGATAATTCATTTGGAAATAATGTTCCATAATATAAATTGTGCCTGGCTCATTGCTACATGCAAAGATTTTGTTCTATTTCCATCCCAATTTCTGATCTAACATTCTGAACTGATAGTTTGACATCTACAGAAAACTGCTGTTCTTAGAAATACTGATAACTCAGGTTAAAGAGCTAATGACAAGAGAACTTTTATACTCTCCTGGGTGTGGAACATGTTGCGTAAGAGTGTGGTGTGTTGGATCGCTCAGGGCATTCATAAAAGGAGACTGAAAATCAATATTCAGCTGTGTGCATAAGTGAAATGAGTAGGTTTTTTCCAGGATTCTACATTACTGACAGATATCTTTGTTAGCAATCAAGGATTGCAGGGGCATGGAAACATATTTGTCACTATCCACAGACCAAACACACTGTGGGTAAACACAAGAATTCTTTCTCCAGGAAAGCGCTGCAGTTACTTTATTTAAAAACAAAACATAGAAAGCATGGATTGATAGAGATTATTTTACTGAAGCTCCACTGAATTCATTGTGGGGCTAAAGCCAGAAAAATTTGATCTTCATTTATATCACAAGACTGAAAGTCTGCCGTTGGTTCTTACTGAGTCCCCTTTAAAGTACTTTTTTAAAACCAGTACACCGAAAGTCAAAGATAAAAACCTATTCAAGCACTTTCAGTCGTAGACTGTGGTGACACAGAATAAGTTGTGGGGGGAGGGATAAGGGAACTGTTCTTCCACAGCTCTCTTCCTTCCATGAAAAGGAATATTAGAAAGGATCACCTCAGATTGTTCAATGTCACTCTTCAGCACAACCCGCTTTACGACTTTGGAATACCCATCTCCTTCTTCAACCATAACAGGTTCTTGTGGTGCTCCGTGCATTAGGACTTCCTCTTTTTCTGTGCCATCTGGTGAAATATATCGCCTGATAATCTTTCTGGTGACCTAAGGGGATAAATTTCAGAGTAGCAGCCGTGTTAGTCTGTATCCGCAAAAAGAACAGGAGTACTTGTGGCACCTTAGAGACTAACAAATTTATTAGAGCATAAGCTTTCGTGGGCTACAACCCACTTCTGTCTTCAGTTCACTTCAACATTTAGGTACAGCACTCTTAACAATAAAAACCAGACCTTAAACTTCTGTACTATGTGTAGTACCTTCCCATTCAAGGATCTTGAAGCACTTAGCACACATTAATAAGCTGAGGGTGAAATCCTGGCCTCATTGAACTCAACAACAGTTTTGCCATTGGCACATACACTCTTATCATCTATTTCTAAAGTGCCTATCTCAGTAGTATCTACGTGCTGAAAAATGGTTACGCAGATGCAAAACCCAAATCTGTCACCCCAAGCATTTTGATTGCCCAGTTCTCATGGGGACAGATTCTGACACCCTTATTGACACTGAATAGTATCACGCTCCCATTGGTGCTACTCATTGTGAGTAAAAGATATCAATATCTGGCCCACAGTAATTAATGACACCTAGGTGATGGAAAGTTCTGTACAAAAATAACCACACGATGGTGCTTTCTCCACTAAGACAAGTAAAAATTTTCAAAAGCACCTAAAGTGATATAAGAGCCGAAGTCCCATTTTCAAAAGTCTTTGGCCTGGTCTACACTAACCCCCCCACTTCGGACTAAGGTACGCAAATTCAGCTACGTTAATAACGTAGCTGAATTCGAAGTACCTTAGTCCGAACTTACCGCGGTCCAGACGAGGCAGGAAGGCTCCCCCGTCGATACTGCGTACTCCGCTCGCCGAGCTGGAGTACCAGCGTCGACGGCGAGCACTTCCGGGATCGATCCGGGGCACTTCCGGGATCGATCTGGGATCGATTTATCGCGTCTTAACCAGACGCGATAAATCGAACTCAGAAAACCGATTGCTTACATCCGGACCTGGATGTAAGTGAAGACGTACCCTTAGATACTTAGGAGCCTAAGTCTCATGGAAACTGAATTGGCAGTATGCTCCTCCATAGAGCTGGTTGAACATTTTCCAACAGAACATTTTTCCTTTGGAAAATGAAGATTGTAATAAAATGTCAGTGAAATTACAAAAACAAACAAAACCTCAACCGCAAGCATAAAATAAAGATACAACAAATAAATATCGCTGTGCTTTTGAATGACAACAAACTTTCTGCAAAACAGAAATTCCAGTTCCTGCACAGCTGAAGTTACTTTTGAAAATAGAACTTCAGCTCCTAAGTACCTTAGGCAGTTTTGAACATTTTACCTAAGGACAGTAAGAATGCACCAGAGCGTATGACTGACAATACCTTCTTCACCACAATGTGGCCATGTTCATCTGTGTACTGCTCCTCTGTTACCGTTTCCGGTGGTATTTCTGGCATATCATCAGCCTGCACGACAAGAGAACAAAACTGCATTAAGCAATGCCTTAATATAAGTGGATGCTTTAAATAAACACCATAAAAATTATTAGTTGGTTAAAGTAAGAATTGAAAAAGCAGTCAAGATGCATCAATGCTGAGTTGTTAAACTCCATAAAACATTCAGCAAATGAATAGTAAAAGGCATGCATAGGAAAGTTATACCACAACCAACAGGCAAATAAATATTAGTTCACCTGGCCATGTGTGGGACTGAAAAAAAAGCAAAACAAAGTCCTTGTTCCCTTACTGAGGCATCTCCACAATATATGCTATAGCTAACAGTCCCACAGTAATTCTCTTCCGCCCTAAAACGTATTAGAATAACATTATCGAAGTTATTTAATTGCCATGCATTATTCAGGAGCTTGGCAACTTCATAAGTGGTTGCCTTAGCAGCAGACCTTCTGAGGGTTTCCTACAGATGTAACCAGGACATAATTGCCAGTGGCACGTGCAGTAGTTCAATACTCAGTACCTGAATAATCACCCGGCGGCGAATGACCCTGGTAGTTACCATCTCTTCTTCATCTGAGCTGGTCTCTAGCTCACCTAATTCCTCTGCTAGCTCCTAGTAGAAGCATGAAGCATTGCTCTATTTATCATACTGATGTTGTATTTATGACGTTTCCACCAGAGTTATAATCTATTCTGAAAGTTTTGATTCAAGGTTTTTGACTACTATATTTCCTCTTTGAGAAACATATATGTGGACTATGAACAGCGTTTCACCACTTTCCTTTCGTTGTCTCTCTTTTATCTTAATAAAATTCATTGTTTGGTTAGAGTGGATGACAACTCTTAGGTGAACATATTTAACCTATTCTAAAAGATGCTTTTACTGGAGGTTGCGATAATCTGGCCAGCAGCAGTGTTGCTGTATAAAACTGCTAAATCTAGGACATAAGGTACCATTCGTATCAGTGCTGAATTCAGATCTTTTTTGTATGACGCATTACAAAACCAATAGTATAAGAATGAGTTTCCTATCCTCTGACAGCTGCACAGCACAGCACTGCATACATATACTGGGACTAACACATTTAGCTAGGGGGAAAACAACCATCTATTTAATTCCTAGCACTGCCACCTAGATTTGGGAATGTCAAAAACAACAGTTAGTGGCCTGTCTTAAGGTTTTTCTCTCTTGCATAAGAGAGGATGCAAAAGGGAAATGCAGCACTTCTAAATGCAGAGAGAATACAAGCATAGGGTGTACTAGAAGATCTACTGGGAAATTGTTGCAGTCTCCTATAGTCTTACCAATCATCAAATATATCAGTGCATATGGAAACAATTAATAGGATGGTAAAAAAGAAAAGATTAAAGAACAATAGGAATGATGGAAAGCAGATTTTGATTTCCTTTAGTGTTTAGAAAGTACAGTATGTTAGAATATTTTAAAGATTTATACGTAAAGACATCCATTTATTAAAAAATCCTTATTTGATCTTGAATAAACCAAGCATAAAGAGAACAAAGGCCTTTTCATGAAGTCAGAAATGTCTCTTATGACAAATGGATCAGTTAAAATTCGATATGGACTGGAACTGAAATGCTAAGCTCAGCCCTCTACCTAGGGGCATCCGCAATAAACCCGGGAACAATGAGGTAGTCAAATTGATACATGATATACAACATATGACACCAGAACCTAACGCTCACTAAAAATTCCCACAGAAATGTGTGGGGCTATTAATTCCAAAGACATCCTCACTTGGAAAAAGCTCCAGGCCATTTATACACATTGTTCATCATTCCTTTTACTTGTGGCACCCATATGTTACTTCCTCATTGTGTAACCTAACTGGCACAGCATTCTTTTTTTCTCCTCCATAGTCTTCAATGGGGGAAGAGGTGTAGTAGGCAAGACTGTGCCGTCCGTACACCTCCACTCAACACCCCAGAAGTTAACATAGTTGCGGGAGCTGAAAATGACGGCAGAATTTGGCTCAGTGAGCCAGATGCTGGTGTAGCTCCATTGATATAACTGGCGTCAAGCAAATTTATACCAGCTGATCTGGCCCTGTGTGTTCAGTTTTTTCAAACTGCAAAAATGGCATTCAGGCCAAGGTGCACCAAAATGGTCTGGAACTAATTAATTCTGCACTGCAAGTTAGCTATACACCCATCCAAGTGTGCTCTAACTTGCTTTTGGGTTGCCTTTTGATACATTGATAATGCATTTAGTAGTGCTGGATGTACTACTCCAAGCCAAATAGGCATAGCACCAAATCTTTGAATCGTCGATGACTCGTACTTTTTTAGGATGTTCAGAAAAGGTTTGGTAAATCTGATCTTATGAACACTCACTAATTTTTTTCCAGTGCAAGACTGTCTTTGAGGAGAGCCAGGAAAGCTATTCCTCCTTTTCTCGGTATAGTGGCAGGTGAGAGGCAGGGCCCACTTTCCCTTATGCTGAGCCCTCTCACTGCTACCCTACTTAATGTTATCTTGACTCTGAGACTTCCCAGCCCTAGCTGGATGTGAAAATGTAAAATACATTATCAGCTTAAGACAACAAATCCAGAATTGTATTTCCCTTCTTTAACTTTACTGATGAGATCTGTCCTCTGCCCCATTATCATTCTTTTCTCTTCCTCCTCTGACTTTGATGGCTTTCTCATCTCTAACCCTCTTGTCTCAGTGCCTCCAATCCCTACTGACAGCTCTCCTCCCACCTCAACTGTCCCTCAACCTGTCTCAGGTCTGGTCTATACTACCCGCCTGAATCGGCGGGTAGAAATCGACCTCTCGGGGATCGATTTATCGCGTCCCATCGGGACGCGACAATCGATCCCCGAATCGGCGCTCTAACTCCACCAGCGGAGGTGGTAGTAAGCGCCGCCGACAAAAAGCCGCAGAAGTCGATTTTGCCGCCGTCCTCACAACGGGGTAAGTCGGCTGTGATACGTCGAATTCAGCTACGCTATTCACGTAGCTGAATTTGCGTATCTTAAATCGACTCCCCCCTGTAGTGTAGATGTACCCTCACTCTCATTCTTCCTTATGCTCCTGACAATACATGCTGGGAGGGGGGGAGGTGCTCCCTTGTCTTAACAAAGGAACAAAAAACCACCAATGAGTCACCCGCCTCTCAGACTCCCACCAACCTTCACTTCTCCCACATACCTCTAACCTCATTGAACACACCACCTACCATCACTGCCCTGAGATTCAATCCAACTCATCCTAAACCTACTCTCATCTTCCCTCCATGGCCTTGTCTCCACTCTCAATCACCTAACAACCTTTTCTTGGTCAAATTTCAGAGCCACTATGGCCCTTTCACCTCTTTACTGCTTTTGACACTGTCAGTCACTCTTTCCTTTGGCTTTCATGACTGTCTTCTCTTTTTTGGCTCCCCCCAATGCTTAGCCTATTTCTGCAACCCTTACTGAGATAGAGTAGTTCTCACTCACATGAACAGTCCTATTGACTTCAGTGGCACCACTTGCATAGTGCTAAATAAGAATAAGCGCTGCAGAATCAGATCATAGTGCTTCAAAACCTCCATACAGATTAATACTTAATCCTTGTAACGACCATGTGAAAGGATCATTTACTCATGGGGAAACTGAGTCAAAACAATGTAGTGACTTTCCCAAGGCTACAGAGGGAGTCACCGCAGAGCTGGAGTTAGAACACAGGAGTGCCTATCTCACAGGCCTGCACTCAGACAATGCGTCTCATTCTAAAGATCATATTCAATCCTGATGTAAGTGGGCACAGCTCCCATTGTCATCAATGCAAGTTGTTGATGCTTACGTCAGTGCTAAATTTGTCACATCATGCTTAAAGATACCCATGAGAGCTGATTTTGCCAGCATCTGCTTAAGACAAAATAAAACAAAGATAAAATAACCCAAAGACTCCAGACAAAGGAAATTTGCTCTCCCTGAACAAATATTTTATGATGCGGGGGAGGTTGGTATTTACCTTTTCAAAAGATTCATCGTCATAATGTCTTTCAAATTTTGCTGGCTGTTCATCAGTTGATTCCACTATAACCAGACTAGTTCTCCTTGGGGAAAGTTCTTCTTGGGAGAGCTGGAGGTCCTCAAGTTCTTGTGCAATGGGAGAGTCACCTCGCTCACTGGACAATGGCGTCTGAAGATATGGCCTCTCATGCTCTTCAGATGCTGTGGTGAAGCCTTTAGATTTTTCCTTTGCAAAGCCTGCTGATTTTTCAGCCTTTGGTGCTATGGATTCTTCTGTTCCTGGAGTTGTGACACTGTGGATTACAGATTCAAGGAGCTAACTACAAAGCATTCTATGATGAGCCCCATAAATATGACATTTGTGCTCTGCTTAAGTGAGGTTACATACTCCATGAACTAATTTCTTTGCAAAGTTATTTTCACAAGTGAACACTGCTGTTGTTTAATTGCTAGTATAAAACATTTAAAACAAAAGAACTAAAAAGAGTTAACAATAAAACTGAAACCTACATATATGCAAATTGTGCTATCATATGCTTGGGAATAATGGTGACTTCAGAGGTTTAGTTCTGCTTATCTAGTGAATACAGTATTTATCATGAAACATTATGGAAACAGTTCAAGTCTGAGTCTCCTCCCATTCCCCCCAATTTTACTCCACACACATCTATGGGACTCATGCCTGATTTACACTGCTGGGAGAGCAGGATCAGGCACTTCATTTTCTGGAATGTTACTTTGGGGTTGACTCTCCTCATTTACATCCATATGAATCAAGAGCAACTCCATCAGTGTCAGTGGAGTTACACAGGGGAGAAAAGGTGAGAGCAGAATCCAACCCTTTGCTTCTAAGATGTTCGGGAGCCAACACCCATAGACAGCTTTAATTTGTGACTTTTCTCCTTAAAACGTAATCCTTTCTGGATTTGGAAAAATAAGATTATGAAAAATTACAAATTAAGTCCAAGATTGTAAGCTCCCTCCTCAGAATTGTGAGTAATTACTTATATGACCAGTCCGAGTGAAGTTAATGGGACTATTTGTATGAGTAAACATTTATGAGTATTGGTAAAGGTTACCCTATATGGTTCCAAATGGCTATACTTTAACAAAATATTGTCTCAATATAAGTGAAAGATTATTTTGGTTAATTCAAAGTAATTTTTTTCCCTTTCAAAACCATTTGTAGCATTATATGATTCCTCTCCCCCTGGCTCTCTTATTTTTTTTCATACCCTATTTAGGTCAAGTCTGGCCAATCTTTTTTCCAAATTCATGCTGTACATCAAAGGCTGGAATCATTTCTCCCTGGCCATTGCTACATCTATTCAATCTCAATACTATCCTCTCCAAAATATGACGACTGTCACTGAACACAATATTTAAAATCATCTTAAGCAGCACCAAAATAACTTCAACAAATCTACACTTCATACTCAGTATGTACAGAAAATGTAAGACCTTATTGACATTTTGTATACTCTAAGTATTTGTACTTGAGCATGTTGTCTTCTGCAAATGTTTCCAGTCTACTATCTCTAAGCAAATCCAAGTCCTTTTTTTTGGTCCTTCGCAGCATAAGTTAGAGCAGCACTCCCAGCACAGAGCCAGACCAAGATCACATGAATGTAAAGGTGGGTCACAGCTACCTTTACACACTACCAACCCCCCAAGCTGTGCTGTGCGCTCCCGCTGGGCCTATAATTTTAAAGTGTATTGTTACTTTAAGCAGTCCTGAAACACCTTTTCTCTGTTCCTTTCTCCTTGACTATTTGAAGTTTACCTTTCACATACAGTTCTTGTTATTCATATAGTTCTGAGTTTAGCAAATAAAGATTATGGTGGAAGTGCGGTTAGTGTTCTGAATTAAAATTCCTGTCTGAAAGTAAAAGATACAATGTGCAAATAACCAATGCCACCCCTCTGCCATTGATCCTTTCCATTAAGGGAATTATTACTATTAGTTTTAACATCTAAAATATAACTCAACTGTTGCAAAGTTGTCATTTAAAAATTGCTGGCACCTCAATCAATAAAACAGCCCTCCAAAATAATTCCACCCATTCATGCCTACATCTTCTTTTCTTTTGTAATTACTGAGACAAAATTATTCCTTATTACTAATAATGAGCCAATCCATGACTGAGTTTTCTTTCCTGACCCTGTTGAGTTTCCTCTCCTGTATAAAGAACCCCACATAGATTTCATCCTGATCTCAAATAACGAGAGATTGATTTAAGCCCTGAAGCATATCCTTAAAGATATACAAAATAAATAAAAGTGCATTTCTGTTCATCATGAGATCGGTTATGGATTTGACCAGCCAACTTTTGATGCTTACAAGTACTCCTGTTGTGCAGCTGATGAATCTTCTGGCAGATCCTGTGGTTTCCCGGAGAACTCAGCTTGCACTCGCTCTTTGTGTGCTTGTCGCAGGAGCTCTGAAACTGATATGTCTGTCTCAGTCCTGGGAGTGCCCTCCTGAAAGGAAGAGTAACTGACAGAAGTGTCTTCCTCAGAGACAATGGGAGGGTGATCAAATGGCTCACTCTCTTTATAATGCTCCTCTTCCTTCTTGTGTCTTGGACTGTACAGTTCCTCCTGCAGTGCAGAAAATCCTAGGAATGAGTTAAGAAAAAACACAATTAGAATGCTCCCTGGGAAGTGTGATGATCTTGCCACTCTAAGTCAGAGGTTCAATAGGCAGAAGAAACACATCTTCTCAAAACCTCAATGTATCATGGGCTGTGGATGGTTTCTAAGTGCACAGTTTGGGTGGAAAATGAAGAAACTGATTAAAGTAGTTGGTGAAATGTTGGACTTATCAATAGGATTGCCACGCAGCTTTCTTTACAGTAACCTGCAAAACAAATGAGCTCCCTATCTAAAATAACAGCCATTGAACGAGCTGAAAGCACTTCAAAAATATTAATTCAGACCCACAATAGCCCTTTGAAGTACATCAGGGATATGTAGATTATTGCTTCACTCACCAAGTCCTAAAGTGCTCAGTAACAATGTTTTGAAGACTGAAGAATATTCTAGCCAACTAAAACTGCAGGAGGAATTTAGGTGAGAAGAATGTAATTACCTGAATTGGAATTTGATCAAGACATTGTAGTTAACATTCTTACTCTAATGAAAAGTGGAATAGGATCTTTAAATAAGGACCTTATATTCATATTTTATCCAAAGAATGGTGAGAGAATACCACTTTGTGTAACATCTTGGTGTTTCTTAAATGTCTTTCCATCTAACGACTGCCACTCTTTATGAAATCCAACAAAATCACAGCACCAAATGCAGTTTATACCATGGACACTTGTATTCAGAGGCCTTCCAAGCTATGGAACAAATACTGTTTTAATATTCTACATAAAGTATTTTTAAATGTGGGATAAACTTTTCTCTCATTTAAATGGGCACAACCTCATTGATTTCCATGGAATCACCTGTACTGTATAACTGTGAGCAGGTTGCCCCAGAGTGTACAATAATTTCTGCAAAGGTTCATTTACTTCCATTATAAGAACTGGTTATGGTAGGTGTTTGATTAAATGTATTATTTCATCTACATTCTTCATTATTAAATTGTCCCAATTTTAAAGTTAGATGCTACTACTACACAAGTACAATGGAAAAGTTAGGTGAGTCTCCTAACTACCCATTTGAGAACGGAATCTGGTGCGCAGATGAGATCACTTTGTCAGTGTGTAACTTGCTGGAAAAGGTGAAGGGTTAACATCAGGAAGCATCTACCTTCACTATGATCCAGTCCTATCGTTTGTTCAATTTCTGCATAGGTGCGAGCGCCATGGCCCTGCACAGAGTCCATGTGGCTGGTCTCCATTAGATGAACAATATCCATTCGGTTGATTTTTGTTAGACACTGGGTAAGACTTGTATCTGTGATGTTAGAAAGACACCATTTAGTTGAGCTGAGAGGTCTGTCTTGCATACACTCCTGGGCCACCAATGCCCCAAATCACAGAAATATGTAAGATATTCAAACAGCATTATCATACATACAATGCAGATACCTCATATGTGAAAAGAACCAAGGGACAGAATGAAAAAATTGTATTAATGTTATTATAGAAAACCTGATATGTTGGAAAGGTTGCATGCATGAATTATTCTAACATCATCAGTTAGAAAGCTTCCTCAGCTAATGCACATTTTTCTGCTTGCGTGGGTAATGTAGGATTTAAGGCCAATATGCTCAGAGATATTTGGGGGCCTAACTCCCATTGAAATCAAAGGCAGGTGCATAAATACCTTTGTAAGTACCTAGGCCTAGATTTGCAAAGTGGGATAACTCATTTCTGCCTTCTGTGAGATTTTATGCTTTTACCTTCCAAATGCACTGTGATAAATAACTTACTTTAACACAAAATCTTGTGCTATTCCTCATTATTCAGATGCTATTGCTTAAAAGAAAGTACATTCTTTCGTCAGTTGCCTTCGTACTCTTCTAAGCTTTATCTATATTCCCTTTGTGTGACTGTGGGTGAGCACATGTCTAGCCCTGCTAGTCTGGGAAAGTACAGTTCGTGCAATAACTGAAAATTCACCTGTAGCATGTTTCCCGTCCCTTTCAAGCCAGTATTTCAGAAGTGCATGGCTCTGGTCCTGCAGGGAATTTGGATTTTCAATTCGGATCTGGTGAATTTGCTCTTCTGTGAAATCCAGTTCTCTTGCTAATTCTGTGAACAAGAAACCATTTTTTGTAAAGCCTTTCACATTTGTTGTTAGCGTGGGCCCCTTTTTGGGCTGGCAGCTGCAGCCTCAGAGATTACTTTCCCTGACACCAACCTTCTCTCCATTTTATGTGCCATACCTACAGACATTAGGGCGAGACATTTTTATTTAGAGATCACCAAATCCTCCAGAATCCATCATTCTCAATTTCCATTTAGTATCTGAAGCTTTTTGAATCTAGTTGAAGGACTGGTTAATTTTAAATGATGACACATTTTGCAGGCACTGAGTCCGGGGTTGGATTAAGGCATAAATGCTAGAGGCCTCTATGGACATGTGATGGTCAGAAACTTAGCATTCCCATTTAAAAAAAAACAATATTTCTAGGATTTATGGTCTGGAAGAAAAGTTGAACATGTGAACTGAGAGTAATCAGTGTAGCCAGGTCTGCTTGTGTTGGCAGATAGCCTCAAATTATAATACTGAGAGAGGGAACTACACCCGGATTTAGTGGGAGGCTCCTGCCGATACCTCTTCAACATAAGAGAGCGTGTAGCAGAAGAGGGCATGGGTTTGGGCAGGGGCGGCTCCAGGCACCAGCACACCAAGCGTGTGCCTGGGGCGGCAAGCCGTGGGGAGTGGTCTGCCGGTCGCTGTGGGGGCGACAGTCAGGGAGCCTTCGGCGGCGTGCCTGCGGGAGGTCCCCAGTCTTGTGGCAATTCGGCAGCGGGTACGCCGAAGCTGCGAGACCGGTGGACCTCCCACAGACATGCCGCCGAATCCGCGTTACCAGCCGGACCTCCCGCAGGCGTGCTGCCGAAAGCCGCCTGACTGCCGTGCTTGGGGCGGCAAAATACATAGAGCCGCCCCTGAGTTTGGGCCAATTCATCCAAGCTGATATAACTCAGCAGCTGCGGTAAATACTGGGGAACCCCTGCTGCCATTCCTGGCAGGAAAATTGGGGCCCATGCCACTGCTCCTGTCTCTCTGGGAGAGAAGGGGGGACCCCCTGCCACAGCCACTCTGAATGGCAGGGCCATAGGGGGTCCCATGAAGTGATGTACCAAAGGCCCCAGATTGCGTAATCTAGCCCTTAGTAAATCCATGCCCTTTTGGAATTTTGAAACAAAATGTAACCAGCTAGAATACATATGGAAAAACAAATTTGGCACATGCACTCTAGCTACAGATTAGACTTAGATCTGAGAGTCATGCAGGACTTTTTCTAAAAACAATTTCCTTGTATCCGCAAAGTAAAATACGGAAGAAGAACCTTTGCCACTATGTATGTGTATACCTCCAGGTTTCAGGCAGGCATTCTGCTCTGCTGCCATCATTAGAATATTCTAACCACTCAGAATTCAGGTTTGTCACTGCTGTGTATGGCTAAAACAAATTCTGTGATGAAAAAAGACCAAATTAAAGGCAAGATGGTGAGCTGTCCTTACAATACCACGCTGGGATACGAAGTGACCCTTTTCCTCTCTGTGCAGCAGGAGGGCAAGGAATGTGCAGAACACTGGGTCTGATCTACACTATAAAGTTGCATGTGCCTACACTCAGATTTGTCTCTGGCCAATGTAAGATCCCTATTATGACAATGCAGTAAAACCACCTCCCTAGATGGCACTGAGCCATGATCGACCCATTGAAGTCAGTGCAGTGTGAGTGTAGACACTGCATGACTTCTGTTGACCCTAGCTGTCCCACAATGCCCCAGTCTCTGTGACAGTGACTGCTCTGGTCACAATTGTAGAGAGGTCCTAGAGACTGGAAGCCACCTGCCCTTTAAACTCCCCCATGTGTTTTTGAAACGCCTTTTTCTGATTGTCCAGCTTGGTGAGCACACACCTAGGAAATGCGCCAGCATAGTCACAAGACCAGGGAGGCCAACAATAGATCTGGTGCAGAGTCACAGGCCTCCTGCTTTTGCAATGAGCTACATGCTGTACTCGGCAGAGGCCCCACCAGCACCTCAGAGACCACCGTGGATACCTCAGAGGAGCCTGAGACAGAAACTCTAGCCATGAACAGTGAGGAGGAGGAAGAGGAGAGCCACAGCCGTAGCTCCAACGATGTGTAGGGGGGGCATGGAGGGTCAACTGCCCCACCCCAGATTGGCCTGCCGGGACGAGGAGGGAGAGGGAGAGGGACTCTGTCCTTCTCTCCCTACGGCGCCCCCTGGCATGTTCAGCTGCTCTCCCTGGCAGCCTGACAGGGAGTGGGCCACTGCTGCCTCCCAGCCAGGCTCTCTCAAGCAGAAGTGACTCTGTCCCGCTCCCCACCCAGATGCCAGGGAGAGTGGCCGAACGTGCAGGGGGGAGGCGCAGAGAGAGAAGGACAGAGCCTCATAATAGAAGAGCAAGAGGACACAGGACCTTGAAAAGGTATCAAGACTAGAGATCTATGGGCATTGGGGCAAGTAACATGGGACAGGGAGAGGTCACTGGGCAGAGAAGACACGTGGGGCGGTCACATGTCATCCCCTTTAGACTGTGCCCCTCAATATGGGGAGGCACAAGTCATCTACTTACCTGCAGGTTCGAAGTAGAGGGATGGGGATATTTGTTGAAACAAAAACATCACTGATGTTTTGCAAATACGGTGAGGATAATTATGAAAAACCCAGTACAGATTAACTTCATTTTGTTCATATGATGGATTTTAAAATTTTCTCCAGTATGTAATTCCCTTTGAACACAGTTTATTTTCAGGGATTTCATACTGCCCTAAAGGGTTACAGCAAAATGGGACTTCTTTGGAATTCCTCCATCAAGGAGCATGGTAAATTTGCCTACCCTTAGGAAGTGATTGAGGATTCTGTTCTCTAAATTCATGGGGAAACTACTAGAGGTATGACAAGAGGAGAGTGGGGTTGCATTGCATAGGGCCAGGGAGGATGGTCTGGGTACAGTGGACTGAGTGAGAAAAGGTGCAGAGTTCATTGCAAATGTAGATCTCAAGGGAAGCTGAGTTTAAAGTTTTTGTTGGACTATGTGCACCCAAATGCAGGACAGAGAACTATGCACAGCTCATTCTCTTTAAATTCCTCTTGTTGTCAGCTGATTTCCAGCAGCAGAATTACTAATTTCACTCATTTCCAATTTAGCCTCTCCACCAATGATGTATCTGTCTCACCCTGGTGTGGGTTTCTACAGATAAAATCACCATTGCAAATATGGCCCCTTTCATCTCCCCAAACTCTGCCATCAGTTCTGAAAAAAAAAAAGGGCTGCTCTCATTTATGGAAGACTTAGTCAGCTGCCTGGGGCTGCTCTGCAGCCCAGAATTGCCAGCGCACAGGCTGCACAAGGCCACACACCCACGTGCCCTGATATGGCCTCTAACCAGAGTCCTGGGGGGCTGCGAGGAGGAGTGATATTGTTTTATGTATGTTGGTTCTGTGCCATTCTTATGCTGGCCCTAGAGTGAGGCGCCATAGAGTCTAGAATCTGGCCCATACTCTTCCTTTTCTTTACTGCAAGGTCGTAATTTCATCAATATCCTGAGAAGACCCTAGTTTCTATAAGCTATTGGAGAACTGTCTTTCATTAATAAAGAAGACATTTGGCAGAAGCATAGAAATGGAAGAAAAGCCCAATTCTGAATAAACATACTTCATCTGAAAGAGAATACATGCAGTTTACCTGTCCAGCTGAATCCAAGATGATCAGCAATGTGTGCCAGTCTTTCCTCTGTTCTTCCTTGATCCTCCTGTTGATCTAAATAAGGTCAAACAGAACAGCCACAAGTTGTCTACCAACAAGTCAAGGAGAAGCTACAAAACTGATGTATCTCAAGAAAGGAAAGCATTCTTCTTCTAACTGCTCTGGAGCTCCATAAACGGTGGCTAAGTGTTTAAAAATGGATACCTAACATTAGGCTTTTACAGCCCTATTTAGGTGCCAAAAAAGGATTTTCAAATTGGAGCTTTTGGCTGGTCAGCATTTTTGAAAATCAGACTACTCATGTAGATGCCAAAATAGGATGTAAATGTCTACTGTACCCATTTTGGCCCAAAAAGTTATTCTTAGGCTTCTATTTAACAATAAGCCCCCTTATATCTAGAACAAAAGAGGAGAGGGCAAACTGTTACTCGGACAAAAACTGTGTTTTTCCATGCTCTCTTTAGTCAATGCCAAAGAGAAGTCAAAAATGTACTGCAATTTGTTCATTTTGATATATTATTATTTTAAAGAAAATGTTATTCAATCACAAGGAATTTCAAATTACAATTTGTATTTGGTATTTAGCAATATATTTTATTTGATTATTTCATTAAAGATTATTACAATTGAATTCAAAGAATAACCCAGGATATTTACAAAGAAAACCTGGGAAAGACAAGATTCCACTTGTCAGTGTTTATATATTTCAGAGATAAAAGTATAAGGACCCATCCCCACATCCAATTTTAGACCAGCAGAGTTGAAGTTTTGGTTTTCCCATGGATTTCGTGAAATTACTATCTCAATGGTTAGTTACAGGAATACAGATTGCGTTTATAAGTTTTAGCTATTGGCTTTTCCTTGAGGCTACTCAATGATATAATATAAAAGTTAACATTTATTGGGGGGAAAAACCACCACCATTCACTATGCACTATATTAAGTTACTGGTGAAATGTGGAGCATTCTTGAGAAACTGGCTGTCAAAAAACAAAGTTTAATGATTTTTAAAATGTGAAACAGTACTGAGGCCTCAAACTGCAAAAGAAAAAAAAATACACCTATCCCAGTTTCAACAACAGTGCATATTTATTCGCCAAAATATTTTATCACTAGTAAAAATAGAAGGTCAATCTAGGATCAAGGAAAACCAAAAGTCAAAACTCACATGGCCTGAAGAATCAGTTGAGTTAAAGGCAAAATAATATCACATTTTTACCAAAGGATTTTCTGCTTATTGTGTTAACACTTTCCATAAGCATTCGGAGTGCGCAATCTTGAGACTGTTTCCCAGACAAGAAAATATAGACACAATACAATAACGAACACAGCTTACACAAACGCGTTAACAATCACAGAAAGCTCAAAGAAAATGATGCACAAATCACACACACTCGCGCGCGCACGCACACACACACACACACACACACACACAAAAGAATTATAAAATTCATGACATGCGTAGCACTAGGAATCCCAGTGGCTGGCAAATACCTTCAGCACGGTCATGGACATTTTCATCAGGAATACGCTCAATCTGAGTCTCAATGGACTCGTCCCAAATGGGCCTGGTGTCAAAGATGTCTTCAGGAATTGAATGCTGGGTCTCAATGGATGGCACATTTTCAATAACAGAAGCGTCTAGGGCACTACTACTTTCATCATCTGAAATTAATTCTTGTTCTCTTTCTGACTGGGTAAGTCTATCCACTAACTTGGAAGCTTCATCACTAATCTCTTCAAAGAACTCTATGGAGTTTTTGTAAAGGTCAAAAAAGTAGTCCTTATGTTCTTTTGTGGGACTAACAGTACTGTGGGAAGCTGTGGTGCTTCTGCTTTTAACTGGCAGTCTTGATGAAAATATCTTTGATCTTGCTGTTGTCACATCATCTGATTCTAGCTCAAGCTTCATCTCATCCACCCTCTCTCTGGTCTCTGCTTCCACCTCAGCATAACTCCTAGCTTTTATTGAACGCCTAGTCTTTGGATTCATGGGAATACTTGCATCAGATTCAGATTTGCTTCGATTATCTTGTTTCATAGATAGTTTGCATGTCATATCAAGAGCTTTGGGTGACTGTGGCTTCTGGACAGATGTTTCTGTGTATGCACACTGTTGCTCGGCTCTTTGGAAAGCTGCTTTGACAGGAATTTTAGACTTTGGTTTTGTTTGGTCATCTTTTATTTCGTCTTGCAAACTGTCCAGAAAGCCATCTGAGGGCAGGATCTCATATTCTGATTGTTGCAATGACTGCGGTACAGCAGGAGTTGTTCTGACAGGAATTTTGGATTTGCTTTCAGAAGAAGGCACACTGCTCTCCAGGACAGCAGTAGGGATTTCAATCACGGATCTCTGTTCCTCTGGTGAAGAGTCTGGGGACTCATCATCCTGTTCAGAATACACAGACCTAGTGACTGTGGAAAAATCTAACTGTACATCTATCACAGACTGCTCTGGAGAGATAGGGCAAGGCACCTGACTGCTGTCAAATTCATCATCAGTTTCCACTTTGGAGAAGGGATCTACTTCAGAAGCTTCAGAGGCAGCAGTCTCTTTCTTTGGTGATTTTGAAGAAACTGAAATACCCATTTTAATGGGAATTCTAGATTTAAGTTCAGCTTTTGTAGTGCCCACACTGACACCTGTGCTAGTCATTTCCTCTGATTTATCAGGAGGATCAGATACTGGTGATGCTATTGTAAGTGCATCTTTTCCCTGTATATCAGTTTCATCTGATTCTGAAGGTGCAAATGGATCTGGTGATCTCTCTAGTTTAGGAGATTCCATCTCTGCGGCCTCTTTCATTTCTTCAGATAAAGAAACTTCTTCTTGAGACTGCTGCCCCACTTGGAAAAAGTGAAAACTTTCATCTACATAGTTCCTTTTGGTCATGTCAATGGCTCCGCTTCGAGTCATTTCAAACAACTTTCCTTCCTGGAAGAGAAAAGGGTTTTGTTCACTAGTTGGTGTCCCTTCTTCTGTGGGTGTCCTGGCTGGTGTGGTATCAGGCGTTGTACCCTGTGACCGCCTGTCCACCATTAAACCAAAAATCTTTTGCTCCTCCTCTTTCACCCGAGCCTCAAAAGCTTCATCGTCTTCACGTATTTCACTCCACCTGTCAGAATCCACATCTGTTTTAGTGATGACCACTTGGCTGATCAGTTTTTCAGCTTCATCTTTTATATACTGAAGGGCAGTTTGATCTAATGCTGTGGGGTCTGCTGTTGAAGGCACTGAAGTTGATATTTTCTGTTTTGACTCTATTTCCATATACACTTCTTCTGAAGTTTGATCTTCATCTGAAGGAGCATGTCTGCTAAGGGAACCTGCCACTAATGTTTCCTCAATGGTTGTTTCTACTTCAACAGAATGAGCATCTCTGGATGATGGACTTGTCATCTGCCTTGTATCAGTTTCTATCCTACTTTCACAGATAGTGAAAAAATGTTCAGAAGGGACATTTTCATATGGGCTTGTTATACGTGGAACACCACTTTCATCAGTATCTGCTGCATAGCCTTCAAATTCATCCTTTTTAGTGGTAAGGGATGAATATTCTGTGGAAGGCTCCTCACTATAAGAAACACTTTGGCATGACTCAAAATCTTTGCCCGATTTTGTCAAACCACTTGCCAAAGTAGAGCGTGCACGGGAAACATCTTCAGCCAATGCATCGTCTTGTGATGCAGAACTATGAGAAGTATCATGTCCAAAGGGACCATATCCTTTCCCAGACACATCCCCTGAAGCACTGAGGTCTTCATGTGTTAACTTTCCAGCGGCATCAGTCTGTTCCTGAGAAGCATGGTGTTGCTGTAGTGCTGGGGACAGCTGATGAACCCCAACTTCTTTTTGAGCATCGTCACCAACTGCATGATAGAAAGCACCATCAAGTCGGGTCACTGGGCCATTAGGGCTAATTGTTTCACTTTCATCGGTACTATAACAACACTTTGATTCATCAGTTTCTGCTATGATACCAGCATCAGAGTGAAAAATGTTTGATTCTTCAGTAGACGCTTTACAGCTATCACCAGACTCAGATGGTTCCTCTTTGTCTTTCTTTGTTGGCTTATCTGATTCTGATTTATACTCCATCCTGAAAACATGTTGTTTGGGGTCAATAGGTTGAAATCCTGCTTCTTCAGGGCTGGAACTGGAGTCTACACCAGATAGATGTGGTGAAGGAGGTTGCACTCGAATTACAGGCTCCATTAAGAGGCCTGAGTCAGCTTCTTTTTTCAGCTGAGTCAATTCTGGCTCACTTTCAGAAGAAGAAGAACTTTTTCTAGTGTCCGCAGAAGACATCACTACTGTAGGTATATGTTTTTCTTCAACGGCTGTTGGCTCTGGTACTTCATTTTCACATGTAACACCCGAATCAGGAATTGAAGAAGATTCCTCTTGCTTTTTATCCTTTATGTACTCTCTTTTCTGTTTTGCTTCTTGTTCCAATTCATCAAACATTTTGATTTTGGTCACCATTTTGAACATCTCCTCTTCCGGAGTGAGCCTCTTCTTTGGTTCACTTTCTGAATCATCCTCTGGTTCCTCACTGACTTCAGGGATTGTGGCTGACTTAGATATATTTGACAGTGCCTGCGAGTCTGCAGTTTTGGGTGTAATTTCATAGCTAATTTCTTCAGAGCTAGGAGTGTCAGGTGAAAGAGGACTTTTCCCAGAACTCTCCATGAGGGATGTTTGTTCTAAACTGTCATCTTCAGCACTTCCATCAGGGTCGCGGAGAATTCTGGAACGCATAGATGCCAACTCTGGGAACATTTCTGCTCTGGTAGGGAAAGACTGAAGAGGAACCTGTCCCGTAAGAATGCCAGCCTTTGCTTTTTGTTCTACAGGGCTGCTTTCAAGCGAATCACGGCATGGCGACTCTTTCATAGGGCTAGGCTCCAGGGAATCGGGTGTTTTGTGTGATGAGTTATCTTCCAGCACTGGGCTTGCTTCCAATGAGTCTTTATGACTTATAGCCAGGGATTCATCTGCCACTGGGCTAAAGCTTTCACTGTGATGACTAGGAAGGGAAAGTTCCAATCCTTGGGGACTTCTAATAACAACATGATGTTCACCAGTCATATCTTTCTCTAAACAGCTGTCTTTCATTTCAGAAGATTTAGTTACATGTGTGTGTTCAGTGCTTTTGGATTCTTTTGCACTGCTAACATCTTTCATAATCGAAGCTGAGCTACTATCTGTAAGTTGGCCTGCCCCTTTCTCAGGGGCTGAAGGTACCTGTTCTGATAAATGATCAGAATGAGATTTGATAGCTTCAGTATTTGCAGTTAGCTGTTCTGCAGCAATACCTCTTTCACCTTTCATTGGAGAGAGTTCCTTTGGCGAACATGTCTCTGCTGCTCTATGCACCGTAGTGGATTCTTTTGTTTCTCCAATTTCCTCAGTTTTCTTTGGTGAGAAAGACAGACTTTCAGGGCTTGTTTCTGGAGTCTCTGCCAGACCCTCATGCTTATAACTTTCCTCAGAGCTGATCTGAGGGGTTCCATCAAGTAGGCTACCAGGAGAATCTGCTACACCTTCATGTTTAAGGCTTTCTGAGCTACCATCAAAAGCACCACTTTGCAAGGAGAGAGCAGGTAGGAAGCCATCTTTCACATACTCTGATGGGAAGGTAACATTGAAAGGACTGGTCAGTACTTGCTCTAAGTGAAGCTCTCCCTCCTCAGTGATTGAAAGGTGTCGGAACTGCTGGTACTTGTCATTATTCTCAAGCTCTTCTTTAATGACATCAGAAAAGTCAGTTGAGGTTTTTCTGTCCGGGCTGATCTGGAAGTCAGTGTCTGCTTGGTCATCATCAACTGTACTTTCCTTCACAATTGCTGCCTCCTTGGAAATTTCTTCATTAAATACTGGAGAGAAAGGTTCAGTTCTTTTATAGCTCTGTTCTTTTACCTGGCCTCTATCTACAGGTTCCTCTTTAGTGTAATCAAAAGAAGCTTTTGGTCCTTTTTTTGATGGGGAATCTTTATCTATCTTAAGGACTTTGGTTTGTTTGGCTGGCAGGCTATCTTTTTTGTTTGTTCTCCTAGGTGTTGGTACCTGTTCTGTTTCACGTTCTAAATAAACTGCTTCTCTCTGAGTTGGTTCTTTGTCAGAGAGCTGTTGCTTTTGTTTGATAGCTTTGTGCTCAAAGAGTCCAGATTTATTCTTGGATGGATCTTGCCCTGACTGGAAGGCTTTCATCAGCTCCCGGACTGACATAGTCTCTTCAAGTCTTTCTGTTTTAGCTGAGGGTGAAACAGGTGGCTGTGCTTTGTGCACTATTTTTTTAGCTTGCACTGGCCTTGTAACAGCCCTCTCAGTAGTGATTTCTTTTCGTTGGATTCTGACAGGCAGTTTTGAACGTACTTTTTGTTCATCTTCCACTCGCTTCTGAAGAGCTTTTACTTTGTCTTTTATGGAGCCAATAGGCGTTTCTTCTATTACAGGGGATACAGCACTAACATTAGGAACAGCTGCAGGTGTTAAACCTGGCTCATCATCTAATGACTCCTCAGAACTGAACTTTGTTAGTTCTGATGGTTCTTGTGTCTCTCCCTCTCCTTCCTTTTGCCTTTGTTTATCTTTTAGTTTCCTCCTAATTGGTTTTTTAATTTCCAGGGCTGGTTTGCGTTGTTCCTGTGTACCTTGAGTTTCAGCTGTTGGAGAGCCCTGCCCTCCTTTTTCAGAACCCCTGCTTATAACAACAGCTTCAAATCTCTCTCCTACTAAATCTTCTTGGAATATCTGTGGCTCCACCTTATGAAGAGATACATAGGTTTTTAAATCCTCGGTAAGATAGTCTACCATTCCTGTCATGTCTGTCTTTCTTATCTCTGTTGTTCCTTTTCCTATCCTAAGTTCTATACAGGCAGGTTCAATGGCTTCTAAAGGAGCATTTTGTCTGGCCTCTTCAATTTCTTCATCACTGACAATAACCCATTCCTCTTCCACTAACTCTCGTCCAGAATGGGACCTTGGCAGTATATGGTCTTCTCTTGTGTAGGTTCCATGTCTGAGAATTTCATTTACTTTCTCTAAATCCTCTTTCACACTTTCCACAATTTCAAAAGGCTCTCCTGGCTCTTCTTCAGTGGCTTTCCCAAGATCTTTCACCTTAATGGAACCTGACTGATCAGAAGGGTCAGTTGTCAAGATGGCAGTCATTTTGATCAAATCTTGTTTCATCTCAGAAACTTCAGATAGCAAGTCTGGACTGGCTAGTACTGGGACTTCATTAACCAGGTGGCTTTTCAGGATAGATGTTTCTGTAGATTCTGTCTCGTCATCATCTTTGATGTGAATGAAAAACATTGAAAGTAAAATGGAAATCAAAAATAGAGATTGAAAAATGTAATCAGGACTGAAAATGACAGTCTTTGGTTGCATTGGTAGGAAGGTCAACAAAATGGGCTGGGCATGGTGGATCCACAAGATCTGAGGATACAAGAGCAAAGCAAAGCTAACAGGAAAAAAAAACTGAAAAGGAAAATGGGCAGGAAATAACTTGCTTAATTTTCCCACTATTGCACATTCACACATACACCACCACCAAAGCTTAACAAACGAAATTATCAGGACAACATAAAAATTACAACAATAACAAAAATTAAAAATAAAAAACAATGCGGGAACACAGTGAAATTACACAGATAGACATCTCAAGATTGTTTGGATGTTATAGATCAATGTTCAAATAAAAAAAACAAGAAAAAAGAAAAAAAAGAAAAAAAAAGGGCAAGCAAACAAACAAAAAACCCATTAAAATTGGTTGAAAGTCGATTTCCTCTAAGTGAAAGCCAGTGGTAGCAAACTGTCAGAATAACATTTGGGTAGAAGTATGCATTTGTTTTCCTTAATGATCAAAATAAAAAATCTGTATTTATGTGTATTTAATTCTGCAGTAATCTAAAGTCTGATCAAATATATAGAGATCTGAATCAGCTGCAAACCGGCATTTCATCTAAGGGGATCTCACACCTAAACAATGAAACAAACATTCTTCTGCTTCAAGAGGTATGGTCCTTTCCTTGGAACATCCTCATTGACAAATAACGTATAGATAGAGGATAAAAAAAGAAGGGGAAAAAAAGAAGGGAAAATAAAAATAACCGTGAATCAACTTAAATGTGAATTTAAAGGTTCAAAAAATGTAATGTATGGCAACCAAAAATCAGACATTCACACTGGACACACATACAGTTTATGCAAGCCAAGTTATTTCCATGCAAAGCAAAGGTGTTGGGTATGTAGCCTTACTTAAAAGCAGTAGGTGGAGAATGGTTATAAATTAAAATAATACATGAAAATAAACATAACATACTGTGGTGAAGTATTGGCTATTCTCCACAACCAATATACAAAGTATAGGATTGTAGGCAGCTCAGGATATGGCATAGTTGCTTGTGGAGAATATTTTGTGACAGGGCCAAATTCGAACAAGGATTATTAAGAAATCTGCATCTGATTGAATAAAATAGTACAGGATTAATGTCAGTTATGTCCAGAGCACCACTGTTATTTATTTGAAATGTAATGAACTGTTCTTGCTTTTAAAAAAATTACAATATACTGTATCGTAAGGTATTAATTGAAGATGGAGTAAACCTATCTGAAAGATTCTGTGCAATCAAATATCTGCATTTGTTTAAAAAAATATTTCCTCTGTTGCAATATTTTTTTTTTTTTTTCCTGAATTCCGAGTATTCCTCCACTGGGGAAGTAGGCACAGTAAAACTGGACGTTTATGTTTCACAGACTAACCGGTCATCTCTGTGTTGTTTTATAGTATTACCAAATGCCCATTATGGTAAACGAGAAGGCTAACAGAGCAACTAAGGTTTGATGAAAAATAAAGGCAAGCTTGTGAAATCTCCAGAACTGCTTGGAGACATTTGAGACAAATTCAACATCTTGCACGCCTCATAATATTTGACAAATTGTCAGTTCATGGGAAATATTGGCATTAAGCCCCCAACTATCCAATGTGAATAGGTAGTGTGGACCCCTTTATCTATGTGGAGCAGCCATAATTCCCACGGATTTCCACATAGGCCCAGGTATCCAGGTTAGTGGGTACTGATACAGGTTTGGAGGTCTAGTTAGCTGCTTCTGACTGGTATGGAATTTTACTGGGATTTTAAGCATCCAGGCTCTTTGAAAAGCCTGTGTGTTCTAATGAAAATCACTCAGTTTCGGCAACAAAAGAAGAGGGTTGGTACATCAGGGATGGTTTTTTTCTTGTTTTTTGTAATCCTTTAAATTGGGATTTCCAAATGCTTCATTTCTTTCTAGTAACCTTTTAATCCAATAAATAAAAACAAAATTTGCAATGCACTGTGTCTGCATGGAACCCCACATGGGCACAGGAGTCTGATCTTCTGGCAGGGTCAGGGCCTCGCCTATGAACCCCAAAAGAGAAAAGATCGGTTTGGCATTGTGCAAATAATCACCATTAAATCCTGTAAAATCCACACACTAGAAAGGAGTTTATTGCACAATGGACACCATGTGCTAAATAAATAAATTAAAAAAAAGGGGGAAATGGGAAAGATTAATGTCTCAGGAATTTGGTGCTAAAAATAACTAGTTCTAATTTGGTGTATAGTGCCACATGGATGAATAGCAAAACTTCCAAAGATGATAGGCAGAAATGAACTTTTTCCTCTGTATTAAATTGTATTCACTTTTAAAGATGACTGCAACCCTGAAACAAGTCAAAAGTCATTTTCCCCCCAAAATGCAGTTAGTAAGAAAAATTGCTGCATATGAAAGCTCTCAGCTCTCATCACAGGATTGTTCAAATTGAGCAGATAAATTTGTCTGGGTTTGCATCTTCATTAAAGGGAGACATTTAGCAGAGCACTTGTCTGGTATAGGTTAGGACTAAGCCAGTCCATTCTCATTAGTCCCTATCACTCCAACTAATAAATGTCAGGCTCCACTACATAATGGGAGTATTTAAGCAAAGCCATATATCCAATCATATTTCACCACAGTAATGGGGATTACACAGCCTGATTACTTTGGACAGTATCACTTTTACGCATGCCTGTGTTTCTTGTAATCAACTTAATGATGTATATTGGGGAGTTTAGTGATGCTTTTATTAAAAAGTGATACTGTCATTTCACTGATAAAAATGAGGTGACAATACTATGCCAATGAACATACAAAAACATAAAAATGGAGGGATGGGTATTTATACAAGCATAACAGCAATAGCAGGATTTCTAGGGATGTCGAAGGAAAGTGAATGCTTAGATGAATTGTCTTAATATGGTATTACTTATAAATTTATAAGTTAAAAATGTATTTAATTGAATAGCTATTATATTGCTTACTATTACATTTTTAAACTATTATAATTATTAGTAATGTCAATTAGAGCTTGCGGTCTCTTTCATGCTTTTCTTTATTCTTAACCAGCTTTCATACAAACAGTTGTTATAATTTTTTTAATCTTACTTTTTTCTGAGGTCACGTCAACCTGAAAGAGAACACAGATAAAGTGAAATGGTTACAATATCACACTGGTGTGTGTATATATGAGTATATATAAGGACATATAGGGGTAAATTTTCAAAGTTGGCCTTTGGTTTTGTCTTCACAAATTTGTCTGTGGAATTCTGCCAGCACTATTATTTGTGCACAAATAAAAGAATCTCACATGTAAATGGAATTTACACATCCACAACGGTGTGAGGAAAAATTAGGGGCTACACTCTGAACATTTAACCCTGAGAGTCAACTCTGTTGGTAGAATGACTGGAAGGAATGGAATTGGGTAATGCTACAAGCATACTGCATATAACACTGGGGCCCACAATTTGTCTTCAGTAAGTGTGAAGAATTCCCATTTCAGCCAATAAGAGTTCTGTATGTGGATAAATGCAAGATGTTGCCCCAAAATATTATCTTTATCTGCTATCTCTTGCTTTTCAAGGGAGTGATCAGAACAGAAATACATTATTACAAATTGTGATACAGACCTGCCTTATGATCACTGGTAGGTCACATTACTATTGGTAAACCTTAGGTGAACAACTATAGATTAATGTAAGCGACTATTTTAATGTCAATGTCCTTGTGTAATTACTGCACTGCTAGTAGAAATCCCACAGATGTACTAAGGGAAGTACAGACTCCCTAAAATTGGTCTAATTTTTGGACAATTAATCTCACAATATTCCCCCAAGTGTTCTTCTATGTCCATATCAATTAATTTTAGTAATACAAAATCAATGAAAACTACTACTTTAATTCTACATTGGGATATTGGCCCAGGCAGGTCATTTTAAAAAACTGAAACAATTAGCTTCATGGTTCAGGGTCTAAAACTGTTGGGTGTTGGGAAGGGAGTTGTAACTCCTACGTGTATCAGCAGTTGACAGAAGCAGGATATCAGATTAGATAGATAAATGGAGACAGATTTTTAAAAATGATCCACACCCCAATTGGGCCAGATTTCCAAAAGAGCTCAGTCGCCATTTAAGCTCTTTAAAAATATGGCCGTACTTTCACTTGTCACCTGCCAAGAGCTGAGCACTTCTGAAAATACGGCCAAATTATTTAAATGGGAGAGGAATATCTGGCCTAAGGTGTGTTCCATTATAATCATTCCAATCCCTAATATTTAGTTTTTTAAATGGCAACCTGAATAATTGTGTTATCTAAAATTCTTGCAATAGTGGTTTCCAAACTCTGTTCTGTGATTCGTGGAGAATATGTTAATAGTCCATAGGATGCAGGTGGGTCATATGATTCTAGCTCTCTCCCTGTTTCCAGCTGGTAACTGTCAATACAAGACAACTAAAAATACATACTGTTCTAATGTTACTTCCCCATTTAAGGATCAGGGCCTAAGAAATATCTGTAATTGCCGGAAGGATATAATGTGATTGCAAATATAAGAGGAGCTGACCCATCAGACAATCTCTCTATTAGGAGGAAAAGTTTGAGAACCCCTGAAATAATATTTTCGGTTAATAAATTTATGCTGGACTTTAGTAACCAATTCAGAAATACATGGACTTTGTCATAGAAGGTCCAGATTTCCAAGTGGGTTACAGCCCTTTGTGCAATTCAGGTGACACAAAGGGCCATAATCTGGCTTCAATTCCTCACTAAGAATTTCCCTGGCATAGTGGAACTCTCTGCTGGGCGTAACTATGCTGGATCTGGGTTTGTGCTTCTTCCCCCCGTGTAGAAGAGCATGTCAGGGTTGTTCCAAAGGGGTCAGAGCAGAGTTCTGCTATGCCATGCTCCACTGGCACTTGGGGTCCTGTAGAGTTGCCTGGTAGCAATTCTAAACTGTATGAGAATCAGGGAGGTGTAACTAGCACCTAGACGCCATCCTCTATCTTCTGCACTGCACAGCTCTGAGACAAGAGAGAATCAGGCACAAGTTTTTGAGACATAGGTGCTGGAACTAGATGTGCTGGTGGTGCAGCACCAGCACCCCCCCTGGCTTGAAGTGGTTTCCATCACAAACAGGGTTTACAGTTTGATTCAATGGCTCTCTCAAAGCACCCCCACTATACAAACTGTTCCAGCACCACTGCTTTGAGACTACAAACACCTATTGAAATCTTTGCAATACCAAAAAAAAAAAAAAAAAAAAAAAGGGTCCTTTGTAGTTATTGTTGGACAAAATACCCTTTTTCCCTAGGTAAAAAAAACAAAACAAATCTTTTCACCCTTATACCCATCCATTTTGCAAGCAACCATGAATTTCATAACTTGAACTTGAAAAGGATTAGCCTATAAGGAATGGTGCTCCTAACTGAACCACATTAGATCATCTCAGTAGCACTAGGTCAGTGGACAATATAATATGTCTAAAAGGACAAAACATTCAGTCTTCCAAGACGTATGCTAGTTCTCACTTGTTAGTAGAAATAAGCAATAGCAGAGCCATGATGAAGTGGCATTATAGTAAAATTACCTCTTCTTCCTGCTCTTGGTCTGATTCCGATTCCTTTCAGCCCCAAAATGCCATGCAACAAGAGAGGAAAAAAGAGAGGAGGAAAAATACAGAATATTGAGAAGAAAAGGATAGGAAAAGTATTGTTTCTGACAAAATTCAACAGGCAAGAGTAGGTAAAAAGCACAGTTTTTGCAAGTCAGTTGTCACGAGTCAAAAATGGCAGAGGGTCAGTTTAAATATAAAAGGTGGCAGCGTCAAGCAAATTACAAACAGAAAAGCTGCTTGTGGGGTCTTAGGCTTCTAGTGTGTCCTAAATCCTGTTATGGAATGTATGTATACATCATAGAACTCCTACATACAGTGTATATTAAGGTACGTCGACTTCAGTTACGTTATTCACGTAGCTAGAGTTGCGTAGCGAAGGTTGACTTACCGCGGTAGTGTAGACATAGCCTAAGTGTCCTACTACACCAGCATAGTAACTCCACCTCCACGAGAGGCTTAGGGCTTATGTCAGCATAGTTAGGGCGACGCGGTGTCCCTGTAGACACTGCGTTACTTATATCTATTGGCTGTCATTTTGTCCACTGGAGCCATGAAATTGACAAGACGCCAGATCCACTGCAGCTGTCTGGCAGCCTAACATAGATTGACTTGAGTTTATAGAAAACATGTCCTAAATTGTAAGTCTTTAACAATCTTTTGCCCTCCTGCCTATTTCCTGGTTGTGCTGTGACACTGATGATCCTAGACAAAAACTTCTATAAAGTTCTGATACAGTACAATTGACATTACCTTTGTGTAAAGTGGCAATGTGATATTTAAGTTGCAGATGGCTTGATGGACTATCCCTCTTGTAGATTTTGGCTCCTTCATAAATGATAGTCGCCCACAAGGCTCTTGAGTGGAGTCTCGTACCTAATGCAGCAAAGATATAAAAGTTTAATCTGTACTTTAGCAGCACTCTGTATTCCATATGCAGTGTCAAAACTAGTTACAGATAGAGATTAGATCTGGAAAAAAGTTTCTTCATGTATGTGGATGTATGTTTATGGCGTTGTTGTTCTGGTTTGTTATATATTTGAGTATGTGTATATATGTGAAAAACAGGAGAGATCAGCAAAATAGACACTTTGAAGTCAGTAATAATGACTTATTCACACAATGCAGTTTGAGACAGTAATTGCACTGTGACTACGCTCTCATGACAACATGCACTAACTCTGTTTTTCCCTGACATACTGATGTTAGGGCATTTTTAAATTAATCTATAAAATAAAAACCTTCAAAATTCACACATACCACCACCATAATCTATACATGCACTTGTATCTTCCTAGGTAGATCATCATCAACTGCTGCTTCTTTGACTTCATTAGTAACAAAAGACAGCAATTGATCATTTAGCTGCTGTTATAGGGAGAGAGTGACAAAGGTCACACTTAAAAGTTTTCTTCCATGTCAAAATACCTTATCAATTAAAGCCATATTCAAGGCACTTAAAATTGAGAATACTGATGGAATATCTCTGAAAAAGCTGCAAGTTATTTAAGTGTGACCACTGTATAACCCATGAAACAAAACAAAATTATATGAGCTCATGGGATGTTCTGAGACTTTGAAGTAAATCTTGGAAGAGCCCCGTGTATCACATCTGTAAGGCAGAACTGGACATGCAACACTTAGGACTTCAAATATGAAGTGTTTTTAGGTTCTGTAAACAGTCTTGGGAAGTACATACAAATAAAAGAATTATACCTCATTACGGGTTTCATCACCAAGGCCAAATGAGAAAAATTAGTCTTAAATATAGCCATGTGGTTACATACTTCTATTAACACGAATATACAGGATGGCAGAGCCACATGACAGACTTTCAGGATTGTATTAGAAAATTCAGGATGGGTCACAACCGTGTGAAGCCAGCAGTATGTGACATAAACACAGCTGATGCAGTTCTATATAAGGAAGACATATTCATACAATAGTGAGCTGGGCAGGGGAGAGGTGACATACGAGGATGTTCCTTGGTTATGACCAACCTATCTAGAATTGTAGATGCTTTCCAAAAGTTCACTTTCTCAATTAATCCCCATCTGTACATCTGACCAGCTAAATTAATTTTACATCACAGAGATTATGAAACATTTTTAATTTAAACAAAACCCTGAAATGACTGGTTTAGCAATCTCAGCCCAGTAGTCCCTGGCACCATTGTTGGTGATACAGAATTACCCCAATACTCCAGGGCACAATTACCTACGGATGGCTTTGAAACACCATTGCCAGGGAATTGTGGGAAAATCTGCTCTGCACTGCCTATGAAAGTGCTTTTCTCTGGGCTGAGTTCTTCTGTTTCTGGTGCCACTGACATGACAATTTTCAAAAGTAATTGAGTCACCTTAAAACTACAACTGAAGCCCTCTGAACTCCCCCTCTAAAAAGGAGAGAAGTGCATTTGTCAGAGGTAACTGTAAGCATAGCAGATCCATGGCAGTAGGTCTCTATGCTAGTAACATGGATTTTAGTGAGAGCATCACTACAGCTGTTATCACAATCAGCTTGCTCCTCCACTTGAGACCCTATGAAGGCAGTGGATGAGCAGCATAATTTGAAATATACATAAAGGACTCATTCCTGCTCACACTGAAGTCAAAGGACGTTTTGCATTGCCTTCAGTGGGAGTAAGATTGGGCCCAGAGTTGAAGAATACCTGTAGAACAGTTGAAGAACTACACCTGTATTTATATGATTTTGGTGTGATAAGTAGTAAGGCCAGCACCAGTACAATTCAGCCAACCTGTCTGTGATGCAGACCAGTATTTGCAGCTTTCTCGTGAACCACAGTCAAACCACTTAGTGTCAGGGCACTAAAGGCTTATCTACTACTGCAAATAGCAGAGTTGGAATACAGGAGTATTAAGAGGATTTTCCCAATTATGTAAATGCACTTGCTGCCTTCCATAAGTGTTTCCTTCTGTCACAATGTATTTCTGTAAAACAGAGGACTGCACTTGCAAATGGACCAATCAAATCCGGAAAAATAAAACATAAAGACTAATGGAGCTGTTCCTTCATCTCATTAGGTAGAGAGCAGTATTCCAAAAGACACAACATTGAAGTCTGAAATGCATCACTGTAAGTATGCCATGCACTGATGAGAGTGATATAGCCACAGATTAGTACACATACAGTGCATTTTTACCCAGATTTGGGCCCACTGTATTCGATAAAGTCTGGTTTGCCCTACCAGACAACAGAAGGCAGTGGTTGCTCATATCAACAAAATACTTATTTCAGTATTTCTTATATGAGAAGGTGGGGAATCTGTGGGATGGACATTTTCCAGACTGACAAGTGTATTGAAAACCCAGAGCCAGCCCTGAATAAAACCGCAGTCCATAACTGAAGTTATTCCATTACCTTGACGAACAGTGGAAGTCTATTTTCTTTGAAGGCATAAAAACTGAATATATGATGTTGCCCACTTTTTGTTAGTGGCACCAGATTGCCAAAGCAGTCAACGTAGATAGGCTTTCCTTCTAATACCTACGTGGAGTTAAAAAAAGACCCCCCCCCCCCAAAAATAATATTAATAGCCATATTCAATATTCATTTCTACAAGATTTTGATTTATCCTTATGTAAGCACAATTCTGCATTGATTTGAACCAATCTTAAAATTTTCAGAATACAGTGATCTCAACACTCAGCATTAGTGTTGCCATCTAGCATTATCCAGAATATGTGAAGACACATTTCAGATTATTTACTTCAATTCTAATTTTGAATATCATACTAGTTTCACCTACTAAGAGTAGTGAGAAGTGCTTATAAATGAGAACAATGCCTTGTGTTCTATGAACCTATGCAGATTTTCCATTTACAAGAATATGTGCATTTTTCAGCATACTGCACTAAACTGGTTACCATATGGTGGCCCTCACCCAGGACACCCTCTAGCATCATGCCACAGCACGACAAGTGCACCTACCCCAGCTTTCTTTTCAGCTCTCACCTGCCCTTTTCTGGCTAACTCTACCACTGGGTGGCAGTTGACAAAGTCACAGGTGCACTGGACCCTGCTCCCTCTTAAAGGGGTCAGTCACTCTGTGTTCACCACTACAGTTGAAGGAAAGACCTTAGTCCATGAGCAAACTTAGGATCCCGATTTTGAGCTGGAATGTAGACAATTTGGCTGTGAGTATCGTGAGGTTACACGTTTTACCTTCTTGGTCAATTCAAATAATTCCACAGTTTGTTTATTCTGCAGCAGGGTGACCATAAGGGTCCAATCTACTTGGAACAGCCTTAGAGCTGAGGCTTTTGCCTGGGCTCCAAGGGCCAATTTTCAGAGGGGTTGTGCACTTGCAGATCCCATTGGCTCCCACTGAAGTTGTGAGCATTCAGTACTTCTGAAAACCAGGGCTCAGGTGAATGTCTGGGATGCCTCTATGATACTGCTTATATCTCCTGGTAGTTATTTATACGACCCTTCCTCAGTCCCGGGAACTCACCTCATCACAGCTTTTGGAGTCACCCGACACAAGCTAACAGCACATTCAAAGGGCCCTTCTTACTTCTACCTCCCAGTAATTTAGCTTTGCCAATGTAAAGAGCACCTATTTTATCTATCATCTCTGCAAAAGATTGCCTATCACAGCCTTTAGCACCAGACACTGAACCTGAGAAATCATTTATGCATGGTGGGAATTAGAGCAGAAAAAAAGTATTTGTCAGGAGGCAGAATGCGCTGTGCTTTATCCATTTCCCGCTTGTCATCAATTTTAAAGGAGCTGACTCACCCAGTAAAGCATTTAACAAACAGCGCTAATATCCACACAGAAAGGCTTTTCTATGTTCAATATCAAACATGAATATTTATCAAACCTGCTAATTTAACTTCTTGCTCCTGGTGGACGAGCACGGCTTTTCTCACCGATGTCAACAGCAAACACGCTGACCAACTCCAACTACTGCTGTCAAGGTGTTGACGATCTTTTCGATTATTAATAGGTATTTGGTGGAAACTGGCAGGTGGGCACCTAACTGCTCTTAGAGCCTTTGAAAATCTCCAGAGCCCATCCTCTATAACATTCGATGTGCCTTACAAAGCTTAAATAATTTAAACATCAAAAATATGACTAATAAGTACAAAAGGATAAATCCTGAGGTGGTTACTCGGCTTTTTCAAGTTCCTTCCTCAGGCAAACTTCTAAAGGAGTCAGTGGGAGACTATCTGAATGACAAGGAATTTAAGATTTTGTCTTGATGGGTTACATCACAAAGCTAATTAAAATTAAATCACTCTCCTGTGACCACCACAGAAATGGTCACTGTGCGCTTTTCTTAGTGTTGAACAAAGCTTGCAGTCCCCATGTCCACTGGCAGTGCACAGCTGCCTCCAACCTGCCATTCCACTGAGGGTCTTGGAGTCAGAAAACACAGGCTACAAAGTGAGCAGCCCTGGACTGGAAGGAAGTGGGTGAGGCAGGCTGGTAGATGCATTGATTTATAACATCTTCCAGGTGGATTCCACAGACAGGGTCCCTACAGAGCACAGGTGGGTTTAAAACTGCTCCTTACTCTGACAAAATTGTAAGGTGTGTGAATCGGTGTGGCAGCAATACTGCTACACCCTCCCTTGGGGTGATCTCCCTTCATTGTAGTCGCCCAGTGACCTGATTTCTCTGTTTTTGTGTACCAAATTCTGAGGTCCTTAATCAGCCAACATTCAGTGACAGTTTTGCCTCACTAAGGGCCACAGGAAATGATCCTCTCACTATAATCTTTCCTCCTCCCCCCAAAACTAGCTTGACAATTACTCCTGCTTGACAAGAAACAAAGCCAGCCTTTCAGCAGGAGTATTCCTGTCCCCTTCAGCATTGTTTGTACACCACAGCAGAGTTCCTTTGATGAAGGCAGGAACCATTACCCTTCCATATTGCTGTTTTGCAGTGAAATTAGACAATAAGAGTGATCATCACAGTATCCTGAGGACTTCCCTCCCCTGGATTTGATAGACAATGCCACCTATATAATACTCTCTAACCCTATTGGCCTGGGGAGTAACAGAATGAGTTTAGAGATATTTTTTTCAAAAACGCCTCAAAAGAGACTTAAGAGCCTGAGTCTCATTGAATGTCAATAAGACTTATGGAATCTAGGCTCCCAAAGTCACTTAGATGTTTTTGAAAATTTTACCCTAGAACTTGGAACTCGGAGCCTCCAGAATGAAGCATCTGCAGGCCACTCATTCCATCACAGTCCCATCCCAATCCTTTCTTTTAATCTAAACCTTACAGCTGGGATTTTCCAAAGCACTCAATGATGGCCTACCTTAGCTCCCATTGATATGAAATGAGAGTTTCATATGAAGTCAGAGCTGGCCTGAAACTCAGTGCTTGTTTTGAATGATCTTACACCTTGCTCTGAGATCACAGTATTCTGCTTACAAAACATAACCAACTCGGTATGTAAATTATGCATACAACTTGAAGGTATAGAAAGAGTTTTCTGCAATTACTGTTCATTTTTATGAACAGAAAAGGAGACTCAAAAGGCCAGTATACATTTCCACACACAAAAATATACTGCCACATTCTTTGGTTTGGAGGATGTAAGCTTGATTTTGAATCTAATTACAAAACATTTCATAAATGTATACGTGCTCCCATTACTAATTTCTGCCTCCTATATCAGACAGTATGCAGAATTTGTGATTTTAGAAATAGATGGGGCAAGACACTGTGAATGAAGACAAAGAAAATGATACTATATTATCTTGTATTGTACCTCTACATCCCTGCTTCTGGCAACTTCTGCAAAGTTTTCTTGTTGTTCTAGCGTTTTATCCACCTTGTCATCTGTCATGCAGAAGCACCTTAATCGAGCTTCTATGGGATCATGTGATTTGGCAAATACAACAAATTTGGCCATGTAGGGCACACAGATAATCTCTCTGTACACTTGGGAGGCAAAAGTAACAGATTCCTGTATCTGCCGACAGTCTACCAACCAAAACCTGTGAAGGAACATAAAGAGCAGTTATTGGAATTGGCCATCTAGCAAGATGTAAGCAATGCAAATCTCCATACTGGTAGTGTAGACACTGTCCAGGTACCATTGCCCTCGGACATCAAGTAACACAGCCACAGTTATTCATGAAAAAAAAATAGAAATTTAAAACTCATCAATTTGGGGAGATGAGGGTCAGGCAACCCATAATGCATTTTTTCTTTGTAAAAGCAATTTTTAAAAAATGATATAGATCTTAATCCAGCAAAGATTTAAAGTTTGGGTGAAGTATATGTGGAAGTCTTTGCAGGGTCAGGAGCTTTAACAGTAACCTGCTATATTAAAGACCTGGTCACCTAACCTGTTGTCATTAAGGCTTAGCTGTAAACCAAAACATGCCCTACTAATCTCCATATCTACTAGACACGGGAAATTGCATTATACAGCAGTGAACAGAACCTAGTATCTGCTGATAGGACATGAAAGGAAACTCTTTTCCTAGTGAACATCCCCCAATACTAACCAACTCCAGCACTGTGGCCAGGCAGTCTTACCTGAGCAAGAAATGAAAGCCTGGAACCTCAGATACAGGGCCGGCTCCAGGCACCAGCTTAACAAGCAGGTGCTTGGGGCAGCCAAGGGAGAGGGGCGGCACCTGCAGCAATTCGCGGGCGGCAGGTCCCTCACTCCCTCTAGGAGCGAAGGACCTGCCGCTGAACTGCCGCTGCCGATCGCGGCTTTTTTTTTTCTTCCCAATTGCCGCCGCCGATCGCGATCGCGGCTTTTTTTTTTTTTTTTTTT